AATATCGAAACATGATTCGATGAAATAGTTCGAAGTGTCTTTTGTCGCAGCTACTGTGACGATTTTTTTAATACGAAAACGCCCACACACACGCATCCGCTACGGTTTTTCTGCTCCTTATCTCAAATTTTGTCTACCAACACATGCCGATTCTCTTTGTTTAATTATTCGCCCGCTCGAGTGTGAACCATTCAATTATTTTACACTTGAACTGTCGTCAGTGGAACATCCTCGAGCTGCTATTGCGGTCAGGTTTGCTTGCACCCAACTAATGCTGTGAACATACGGTTATGTAAACAGACGACAGTCTGCGATTCGATAGGCCATTTCAGGGATTTTATAATAAAATAATGAGGCAACCAATACATGAGCAGGATTCATGCACGTGGAGCTTCAGCAGAGATTTATTCACCGTTTTGAAACGTCCCCTAGACTTCAATAGGGGAAAGCAGATGGGTATGCGCAACAACCAATATCCGAAATGGACCAAATAGGTTGCCACGGCGAGCGCTGTTCGCCGAGGCAGGTACTGGGTGGAAGAAAGTCAAGCTAAGACCTGGCACGAGGGTATGAAAACCCTAACCAGGAGACTGGGTCACATGGGTCCCTGGCTGGGGACCTCGGGATGAGCTTACCCAATAGTTAGAGACACTGAGTGATATGGCTAGGTGTCGTGAATAGTGGCTTTCGTGCATCTTCTCAATTTCTTTGCGTAATTAACTCACTNTTTCTCTTCGATCCTACTTTTAACCTTACTGTCTTTCTCGTCGTGTTCTTACAAATGGGCAGCCAAAAGACAGCAACCAGCACAGAAGCTCATGCTAAATAGTTGTCCAAACTGAAACTGAAAAAGGAACCACTTCTTTTTAAGGTGTGAGATCTACGCAATAAAAGCATTACTTTCCTGATCTTTGTGAATCCACAAGTGGAAAATTGAGAACACGTGAAATTAATTGATGTGACCGTGCACTCTCGGTGTTAATTCTGCATCGTGTAGCTCGGGGTTAATGGTTTCCGCCCCCGACGTGAAATTTGACTCAAGCTACAAACACAAAAGTACACTGGGAAGAAATTCCTCGCACCTCTGTGTGGATTTGCCCCTTTTCACTGGAGTTGTCTGTGATGGCAGTTGACCTCATCTGATGACGTTAGGTTCACATTGTAACACCATATCGGAATAATTCGGGTCTTCAGATCGCGTATAACACCCACAGATGATAATGAATAAAATAATGTTGGAATACGGTATGTCATCCGAAATTCGTCAGCTTTTCATGTTAGTTGCTCTGGCAACGTCGTATTTCAAATAGGATCGCTTCAGAATTTTGCACCGGCCAATTTTAAAATCTACTAGTCTGTTTACCTAACTCTTCTGACTCATTCTCAGCAAGCGCATTTTTCTTCGCCCTCTTTATCGGTTTCAGTCTACTCATACTCCTTATTTTTTCGCATTTTTGTTCTTTCTAAGAAATCGGTTTGGCTTATGGAAAATCTACGGCCTGTGTTGTTCACAAATCTTGACCTAATCAATAATGCGTCTAACATGCGGTCATCGCGTTTTTTTCGACGTAGTGAATGCCCTTCCCATTCTTTTCGTTCTCAGTCGGGATGTTTTTTCATTTGCACGTCGTGTTTCAGCTCTGTCGTTGTGCCCGATTTTTTGGCGTTGTAACGCTCACAATCACGTTTTGATTTTGTTTTCGGGAAACGGTTTTTATTATTATGCTATTATTTTTTATGGTAAATGACAATCACTCGTAGTCACTTACCTATTGTTACTCAATTTGTACCAATTTTTTCCACTCTCCCTCCACCGATTGCCATCTACGCACGTTCGCACGCACACATACACGTACCCATTGTTTCGTCCTGTAGCGTCTAAACTCACAGGCCAGTGTGGTGAGTAGCGCAACGTCGGTTGGAAAGTACAGTAATGACTCTTTCCCTCAATTTCAACGTTCTGGCGGCGCGATCGGTTCGGGATATTCATCCGGGGTGCTATCCGGTGTGAATTCTGCCCAAGGATCTAATCGACCAGAACCGGTTACCAATACCGCCGGTCCATCGTCCACCGTGTCACCACGACGGCTCCGTCATCCGGCCTATTCGCTGTCTACAGAGCAGGCTCCGGTCGGATTCACAGACCCGACGTTGGACACACCAACAAAGGCTTCTGGTTCACGTTCTTCGTTGGGTAATCTGTCCGCATTTTCCGCCAACTTGGAAGCCAACTCACCGGGAGCAGTCGAAATGCAAAAGGTTGCCGAACGTCTGGAACATGTGAAGCATTGGCGTGAGGCTGCAGTCATGAATTCCTCCGAATTCACTACGGGAACTACAAACACAACCACCGGTAGCGCAAGTGATGTTGGCGAGGATGATGAGATTATTCTAGGCAACGAAGATGAGGTTACGGGCTGCGGTGGTGGCGGTGGCACGGTCGGGCCAGATCAGACTATCCCTTCCACCATCCGCCGAGTACAAAGTGGACATGCTCGTATCCCTGCTTCAGCCGAAACCACTTCAAACGAAAAACGTACACTGGTCGCACACGAGAAAACTCTCACTCTTGGTTCATCCGCCACACGTAACAATTTGACTCACTCCTCATCCACTCGGACTCCACTTCCACCAACCACGGAATCTGCATTATGCTCGGATCCCTCGGCTCCTCTGGTTCCCACTCCGGTGCCCTCACCAGCAGCTAGTGGTGTAGGGATTGGACGGTTCATCATCACCCGTTCAGTAGCGGAACCGGAAACGCGAAACAACGTTTCACCGGGAATACATACCAAATCTGCGGCTGTGTTGCCTACGGATACTACACTTACTGAGGATAATTCAGGTACTGCGGGCTCTTTATCACAAAAGACCAGCCCGTTTATTAAATCACGTTCACATCACGGCAGATCAAAACAGCTAGAACCGCATGCTAACGGTCGTTTGGCGGTTTCTTGTTCACCAGAACGATATAGAGCTCTGAGCTCCGGAGTTGAGCCTCCTAGGGTGAACAATGACACTTTCCCTTCTAACTTTGATGCAAGCCGACTATCAGTTCCAGCTGGTCAGAACACGCGATTAGATACCGCGACTGACCTGCAAATCCCCGCTCTCAGCGCTCGACAACAATGGGCTGCTCGTTCCGTCCCACTGACACGTTGGCTGTTAGAACAGGCCGAACTGGTTCGGACTGAATCAAGCAGCAGCTATTCTATGGGCAAACTTGTGGAACAATTCGGTTCGAAACCGATCACTCCAGGACTGTGCTCGAATCCGCGGTCTGACTTGTTTTCCGGCGGTTGTCAACGCGAAAAATCAGATCGCGAGCTCTTTCCCACGGGCCACCACCAAGTGAGTATCATATCTGACCATGAATAGTTGAATGCTCTCCCATGCATATACATTCATGTTTCTGTTGATTCAATAATAACTATCTCACCTATCCATCCCGTCACACATGTTTCGCTCTAGCCACCCCCAGCGTTCATCTAATCACCCTCTCCCATGGCTGGTTGCATACATGTTGCATGCAAACATGCATGTCTAACTATCGTTCTGTCGATATGTGAGTGTGTTCGGGAAGGTGTGCAAGTTTCTCTTCGGATTGAATCACTACACTTTCATTGTTTAAGTCGAATTTCCCCTCTTTCCTTTTCCCTAAGGTTCATTTTGTCATCATACTTGTATCTCTCCCCTGTTCTGTTACGGATACCGCGAAGCATTTCCGTTATCCTATCCCCGGTTGACTGTGCCCAAAAAGCATTATTTGCATCAGTAACTGGAATCTCTGTGTGCTTGATTGGGTGGGTGAGTGGGTGAATTGTAACGAGTAGGTGAGCTGGATGAGAAAATGTTTATTGATCCAATTTCAAAAACAACCGGTGCACGCGTTCAATTATATACATTCAATTCTCGACCGCGCGGCAGGATAATTCATGCCTCATTCTGTTGGTCAATCTCTGTTGGTTTTGGTCCGCACTTGATACGTACGTTGTCTCTTCTTCCGCGTGCTGGTCCAACTGGTTTGACCGATCGTAGCGCGAGATACGTTGATCGAAAGCTCCGATGTGGTATTTGGTGGATATCTTTCTGGCTATCTGCGGATTGTCTGTCGGGCTATAATTGTCGATTCGTTCGTTTCGGGTGGTAGTCGACATGGTCTCGCAAAGTACTTCCAGCCACTACGTCTGCGCATCTGGTTGGATGGGCCCTGTTCTTGATTCGTTCGTTAGCCGGGGCTCTCTTTGTACCATCTTCCATCACAAAGTGATGAGCACCTCATTATCAGTCAGATGGACCCTGAGCCTTAAGTTATCCAGATTCGAAAATTTAAGGGACCTAAGTGGGATTCAAATCCACACATATACACTGCTTATACCTTTGTACGGTGCACATTATACGAGACCAAATCAACAACTCCGATCCTCGTTTATTCTGTCACCCATTCAACTTACAGCGGAGTAGTAACGTGTGAAACTGAATGTCGAGTTTATGTGATTTTTTGTCATAACACTCTCGGTCAACATAAAACAGGTATACAGTACACAAAAGCTTCACAGATAGCCAAGTTAGTGTTCCAAAACAGAGTTGTCTTCTCTCGAGCGAGAAGGGCGATTACGTACACGGTATCTGACGTTCAAATTTCTGTTCGCACGTACAGTTTTTTTTCTTGTGATGCAATTGTTTGACGAATCCACACGTTGATTGATGGAGGAGAATTGGAGAGTCTCAAGTCGCATTGATGTGTCTCGTATTATTGTTTTTCATTTCCTTATGGTTTCTTGGTAATAAGCATTCACAACTCTGATGTCATGCGCGTGCGCGCGCACTCTGTGCCTCTATCTCTCAAACGCACTTTTATCTCTTTCTACAGGTTCGTCGGGGAAAATCCGTCTCTATTGATGTCCCGGCGAGACAAGCAGAATTACGAACTGGAAGTAAGTGTTCATTATTGAGGCAGAATTCGTTTTACTTTCGGTGTTAATCCGCTCCGAATTATTTTGTCATCACACTATGTTTGCTTTTAATGGTCACATCATTTGATTCACGTTGTACGTGGGTCCTATGCCATCTTGGTGATCGAGTTACGAGCATTTCGTCTCCAGTCTCGGTCACGTAATCACTCGAGTCTTTTAGCAGGAGCCCATGAGCGATCGCTTTTCATATCCGTTGACAAGTTGCTCGTAGGTGTTCCTCGATATATATATATAT